TGGGCTTTTCGTATGAAGGACCTCAATTTTCTCATATCACTTAAGTGCCTAACTTCACTACTTAGGAAGTTAAAGTTTTCCTATTATTGTCTCAACTGATGTCCTCAACCCTATTAAGACGGCTGCCACTACAGAAAAAAAAAACTGCGAAGACGTCTAGCAAATAGCGCCTTTTGCTGATTTAAAAATATTATTAGACTTATTTCTTGAAACACCCCGTATAATGGTTTAAACATGCTGTCAATTCAATTCGCGATGTGTGAATGCCGCTGTACACAATAATTAAATAGAAAAATAAGTCCATTTTTAAAACTGTCTATAGGCGAAGCATTCGTTTGGTCACTAGCCTTTTACGCAAGGCTATTACGGTACTAGATAAGAACAATAAAGGGCACGGTTTGACCTCCCAAAGCCAGGATGTGATCATAAGAGATGCCTTCGTGGAGGACTCCTGATATTGCGACCACCAGGGGGTCATTGCTGTCTAGCATTTTGGCTAAATGAAAATCCGGCTGCCGCGACCTGGATTTTATCCCATGACCTTCAAGTCAGCAATCCAGAACTATAATCTCAAGAACACTGACGTGGGTATGATGCAATATCCCTCTAATAAAGAAGAAGGAGCAAACACATTAGTTCTGCCAATTAACCAAGCCATGTGGCAAGCGCGTTTGAATGCACCCAACTTGAAAGAAACATGACAATGCCTCACCGCTGTGGTCTATAGTACTCAGCTGCTGACCCGCAGGTCGCGGGATGGGATCCCGGCTGTGCCGACTGCATTTTTGATGGAGGAGAAAATGCTGCAGGCCCGTGTGCTCAGATTTGGATGCACGTTAAAGAACTCCTGGTGGTCGAAATTTTCAGAGTCCTCCACTACGGCGTCTGTCATAATCAAGTGAAGGTTTGGGGACGTTAGATCCCGCATATCTATTAGAAACATGACCCTCACACAGTCATTACAAATTAAAAAAAGAGTTAAATTTCGCGGCCCGTGGTCTACGTACACCACAGCTCTCAAACTCACCCTGCTATAGCGGGCCATAGTCACGAAATTTATTCGCTCTAAGATTGGGACAGCACAGAGGACTGAAAAAAATGGGGAGGGAGTGAGTGATTGACTAATGGCCAAATAACTTTGCCATTGCAAAGAATACATCCCTTATGAATGCCCTATATGAGTCATTTCTCTTAAGGATTGGGCTAGAGGAGTCGAGAAACATCCATACCGATTGCGAAAACGACTCTGGATGCCGATTATGAAAGAGACAGTTTTTGTTGCACGCTTATATATAATACAGTTGGTGACCACGCGGGGTGCCACACAAAAATATGTGACAAAGGCAGCCATGTGCGAGTCGTGGGCCCCTAGCAAAGGGTGCGTGATCCGAGTGTTCGACTCCCGGTTTACACTAATAATGTCGTTCTTAAAGTTATCGATAACAGTTTCTCATCCTACGCACATATATCTAGGAAGATCGTTAGCGCCGCCAACATATATCTCGTGATGTGATACTATGAGCCATAGTTTTAACGAAATCATTACTTGATACCACCGTAACCAGCACTACTAGCAACTATTGGCATATGATTTAAGTTTTCGATTATCTTTACGGGGGCGGTAGCTAATGATTCCCTTTTCTATTTTTTATCCCATCAACCACTACTTATTGCAGATATAGTAGAGAAGCGTTTTGAATACCAAAATAGGTATTTATTCAATACATATAAAAACAGCAAGGTATAAATACATTTACAAACAAACAAATACTCTTTCGCTAAACTCCTGCAGGCAGTGTTCCCGCTTCCCGCACTCTGTTCATGTCTTAGATGCACTGTCGTCTTGGAAGACCATGCGTGATGCCGGAACGTCGCCTTCTGTCAGAAACTCACCCTCGGAAACGACCGGCTATCTCGATCCCCCCTTCATGATATGGGGTATCTAGCCAAGGGAGTCACTGCTGAAGGTGATACGTGACAGTTCATTTACATTGATAAATGATGTAAGCATCCTTCAAGGGCGAACTAGTCTCAAATGGTGGACGACGCCAGAAGAAAGGTGAATGCGTAGTTCTTCCTTCGTTCTCGAAGTGGGTGTGGATGCCAGCGGCGGTCAGGCGGGTGCACGAAAGTGATAGCGATGTTGGAGAATTAGCCTGCAGGAAGAAGGGGTTCTGCGAGAGCGTCTCGCTTCGAGACACAGCATCACACGGGCGTCGATGACTGTCATTGCACGATGTGCGTTCAAGAGGGTTCTTCGGCCGCTCATAGGAGAAGACACTATCCAAGGGTAGCAAGTTGCCAGGCTTCGTACCATTCAGGTAGTGAAGCGTATGGTCCAGCACGAGGCTCAGTTGAAGCAGCCGGGTAGCTCTCTTGGCCATGGCTACGCATTCGTGCAATGAATGGATGGCCGCGCTCACCAGGCAAAGGTGGATACCGGGCAGGAAAGGATGGACGGCCTTTTTTACGTGTCCAATGTGCGTATGAGTTACGGAGAGGAGGCGTCTTGTTGAGGTCCGCCATCTGGTCCCAAGATGCCGCAGCGCCGCGCCAGCTTCATATCGGCAGCGTACAGCGGTCGTCTGGAGTGTTCACGTGGAAGCTGTGAATCGACGGACCTAGTCGCCCATGTTCCAACACGCTCTCACGCGCCGTCGTGGCCTCTTCCTCCTCTTTCCCTCCTCCTCCTCCTCCTTCTTCTTCTTCTTCTTCTTCTTCTTCTTCTTCTTCTTCTTCTTCTTCTTCTTCTTCTTCTTCTTCTTCTTCTTCTTCTTCTGCTTCTTCTTCTTCTTCTTCTTCTTCTAACCATACTACTCATACTCCTGTTTTCATTCTGACATACATAATATGTCATGTGGTCAGTGGATTTTCTATAATGTTCTATATTGTAACTCTACTGGATTACGAAAGGTGAACCATACATAAAAATATGAACTGAAAATTATTGGTCATGAAATTATCCGCTTTACAAAAATAAAGGCTACATCTGCTTACTTCCTTCAGGGCTTAGATAAAGTAATTAACCTCCTAATTTTACTCAAAGAAAGAAATAAGCATTCGCTCTTACCCCGGGGGTTTTATGTTCGAGATTATGCTTGTAGCGTAGATAGAACATTTTCATAATCAAGAACCGGCACATGTTTTCTTCGTCCTCTTCGTAATCGTCACCTTCTTCCTTTTCTGGTTAGCTCTCAGCACACGTGGGCCGATTTCTCCAGCGTGTTATGCCACAAAACTGACATACGAGAGATCCAGTACTACCGTGAGGAAGAGAAAGATATATATATATATATATATATATATATATATATATATATATATATATATATATATATATATATTATATATATATATATATATATATATATATATATATATATATATACAAACAAAGAAAGAAAACATATTTGCCGGAAATATATCTTGCCAAGGTGACATTGAAACGTGAGTACCCACGATCCCAAGGCGAGCACTGGATTACCCAGGCCCGCTAGCAGAGGCTAGCATATCCTTGCAAAGCACAGTATAGAAGCAAGGTCGACGGCTGGGCTAGTTGGAATGGTTGCACATTATTCAAAGCAGCGTGAACGTGAAAGTAGACAGTACGCTTGCTCGCAAATAATCATGTTTATTGAAACAGCGTACAAAGAGAACATACAAAAAGTGACCCATACGGACTGCGATATATCCGCAATGTGAGAATTTTGCCATCAAGTGTAAAGGCACAAAAAAGAAATAAAACAAAAAAAAACAATCGGTAAACAGCTTTTATCACCAGGTATGCAGCAACAAGCTATGACGGTAAGAACGACAGTAAAAGCTTCCAGAACTTCGCGCGTTACGTCATCCCTGTGCATAAACATAACTGTACTTTTATGAAAATGAGGGGTGCACTGGCAAAACTTACAATGGTGAGCTAAATTGGCACTAAAATTATTTTTATGCTCTCTAAGGCGGGTGTTTAAGTAGTTTCCCGCCTGTCTAATGCAAACTAGCCCACACGTCTCTAAGATATTTTTGAAATACCTGAAGCGCATGGCACAAACTCATTATGATGTTTCGTGTTGCATTTTCAGTTCTGAGTGGTAGGAGCTTAGCTATAGGGTTCAACCTAGCTAAGTTTTGCTAGTATTCGATCAATATGTGGGGTTTAACGTCCCAAAACCACCACATATCATTATGAGAGACGCCATAATGGAGGGCTCCGGAAATTTTGACCACCTGGGGTTCTTTAACGTGCACCAAAATCTGAGCACACGGGCCTACAACATTTCCGCCTCCATCGGAAGTGAAGCCACCGCAGCCGGGATTCGATGCCGCGACCTGTGGGTCAGAAGCCGAGTACCTTAGCCACTAGACCACCGCGGCGGGGCTAAGTTTTGCTAGTAATGACAAGCTTTGCTACATATGCTAAGTTTCTGCTAATAGTATTAAATAGGGCTAAGCTTGGCTGGACGTGTCACGTGGCTACTTCTTACGTGACGTTGTAGTTTTGCTCATGTGATTAGCTGGTACGTGGTCTCCGGCGGCAACATGTCACGTGACAAGCTATTACGCAACTTGTCGAAATTTTAGTCACGTGACTAAATGTTACGTGAGTATTTACGTGATGTAACGTGAGTTTTAATCGCGAGACTAGTTGTTAAGTGATGTTGCATGATTTCAGTCTTCTGAATAGTTGTTACTTGATGTTACGAGATTTTTAGCCACGTTAGAGGCGGCCAAAATTTTTTGACCCTCCACAACATCATCCCGCGTAATAAAAAATAGGCTTTGGGAAGTAAAACCCGAGCAATTTTTTATCGTGCCTTCTTGTGCCTGCGCGAAGCGCATCCTGAAATGGCTATTGATTTGATTTCAGTGGTCACCGCTGAAGCGCATTTGATACATTGACCCAATGACCACAATGTTGTGTTCAATCAATGAAGTTCTGGGTGTTCTCTGCTGTTAAATGCTGCGTTTCTTGTGTATTTTTTCTAAAAACTTCTTTTTTTCAGGTATAGAAGTTCACGTTCACCTAATAATGGATGCGCAAAACCTTCCACTGACCGAGTCACGGAACACCATAGCTGAACTCAAAGGCACAACCATGCCCGATGAGGTGACGTACCCTTGCTTACAGAATCAAAATCAATAAAAGTCAGTCTAGATGTGCTCTGCAAGCGTGACCGAAGGTATAGAGAAAGTCATACGAACATTCGAGTGGATGATGGATTACGTATGCTGTATAAGAAGCGTTCTTAATGAGCCATATGTACGATTGGTGATAGAGTTTTGATAATGATAAAGTTTGTATAATGATGAAGCCACTACGGCGCGACCCGCAGGTTGCGCCGTAGTGGCGTTATTTTCACTGGAGACGGAAATGCTTAAAACCCGTGTACTCAGATTTAGGTGCACATTCAAGAACAGTAAGTGGTCTTAATTTCCGAAGCCCTCCGCTGCTGCGTCTGTCATAATTATATGGTGTTTTGGGGGGTTTTATACCCAAACTATGATTATTTCTGGGGTGACACTCCTTATGGTCTAGAGCAATGCCTCGTCTCTCTAGCGTGCCCAGTAGCGTCTCTCTATTCATACAATAGACACCGCTGATTTATTGATTGATACGTGGGGTTTAACGTCCCAAAACCACCATATGATTATGAGAGACGCCGTAGTGGAGGCTCCGGAAATTTCGACCACCTGGGGTTCTTTAACGTGCACCCAAATCTGAGCACACGGGCCTGCAACATTTCCGCCTCCATAAGAAATCCTGCCGCCGAAGCCGAGATTTGAACCCGCCACCTGTGTGTCAGCAGACGAGTACCTTAGCCACTAGCCCACCGCGGCAGGGCTTAGATGTCGCTGTACCATAGAGATGCATGCAAACTGTAGTTGGGTGACGATGTACTAGATGGTGTGGTACGCATTCTCTGTCACTGTTTTTTCTCATGTAGTTTCCTAGATGAAGTTGTCTGATAGAGATGCGTGCAATATTCGGTTTAGTGAATGGACACTAGGTGGCGATGGAGGTGCTGCTGTTCTCCGATGGGCTGCGACATTTTTCGTAAACGCATGCTCTTTCCGTACTTCAACTTCAAGCTAACGAAGCATGCATTCGAAGTAAGTCAGGTGAAAAATATCGTGGTTACATTTATACCATACGCGTATACAAGCAAAGCACACCTTTGGATCGAATATGGATATTCGCTATATAGCCAACGAACCCTGACGATTACCAAGCCAGGGATCTCAAATGAAGACCGGAAGATGCGGTTGTGGTAAAAGGGACATAAAGCAGTCGTCTGTATGTTTGCTGGTTCGATTTAGCTAAATTTTCTGCGCTGCGGCTGCTCCGTATACACACCATAACTTGAATTGTCGCTTGCGAACTTGTCATCACAACAACGCCATCTCAGATGGACGTTTCTTCACAGTATGTTTTTCGAACTTTACTCGATAGAGAAATAATACTCCGTATGGACTGAAGAAACGTGTGAACCCTTGCGCGTTTTACGAGACAGTTTTCGTATGACTGTCCCCTTTATAACAAGCAAGGTTTTTGCAAGGCGCAGAGGTGAACTTGACAAAGTCCACATCATGGTCAGCACTTGGATGTGGCTATATTTCATTTCATCAATAAGCGTCCATGTCAGAAATGGGCATTGGGCAGTCACTAATATTTCATGCTGCCGCCCGACAGTTCCGGCTAAGCCTGGCTTTATGGATAGCCCCTTTTTGGACCACTCTGCTTACATGAGCTCGCGCAGTATCAGTGTGTGCCTTGAGCATGCTTTTCGAGCTAAATTCACAAGGCTTCTTGTCTGGAATAGCGGTTTGCCTTCGACAAGTTGTGGAGTTTTCCGGCGGTGAGCACCCCAGGCTCTTGGTGTGAACGAACACAGCAAACGCGGTCGGAACAAAGCTAACAACACATATTTATTTAACTACTTTTGGAACGACGATTCTCTCCACGTTATCTGGAGAGAATCGCTGAACACGCTCTGAAAAACGGAGGAAGTGTCAAAGCATTGAAGAGGAAACTTGGGATAGGCAAAAGTCGCATGTATGCACTAAGGGACAAAGAAGGCAAAATAACTACCAATATGGATAGGATAGTTAAAATAGCGGAGGAGTTTTACAGAGATCTCTACAGTAGCCGAGACAACCACAACCTTAATACTATAAGAACTAGCAGTAAACCAGATTACACCCCACCAGTAATGATAGAAGAAGTCAGAAAAGCTTTGGAGAGCATGCAAAGAGGCAAAGCTGCTGGTGAGGATCAGGTAACATCAGATCTGCTGAAAGATGGAGGACTGATTGTGTTAGAATATCTAGCCACCCTGTTTACGAGGTGTCTCCTGACGGGAAGAGTACCAGAGTCTTGGAAGAACGCTAACATCATCTTAATACATAAGAAAGGAGATGACAAGGACTTGAAGAATTACAGGCCGATCAGCTTGCTCTCTGTAGTATACAAGCTATTTACAAAGGTAATTGCTAACAGAGTAAAGAAAACATTAGAATTCAATCAACCAAAGGAACAAGCAGGATTCCGAACAGGCTACTCAACGATTGACCACATTCATACTATCAATCAGGTAATAGAGAAAGGCTCAGAGTATAACCAACCACTATACATAGCCTTCATAGATTACGAGAAGGCGTTTGATTCAGTAGAAATATCAGCCGTCATGCAAACACTGCGGAATCAGGGCGTAGAGGAAGTATATATAAACATTCTGGAAAAAATCTACAGGGGATCAACTGCTACCATAGTGCTTCATAAAGAAAGCAACAGAATACCAATCAAGAAGGGTGTAAGGCAGGGGGACACAATTTCCCCAATGCTATTTACCGCATGCTTACAGGAGGTTTTCAGAAGCCTAGAATGGGAACAGTTAGGGATAAGAGTCAATGGAGAATACCTTAGTAACCTGCGCTTCGCCGATGACATTGCATTGCTGAGTAACTCAGGGGACGAATTGCAACTCATGATTACGGAGTTAGACAAGGAGAGCAGAAAGGTGGGTCTTAAAATTAATCTGCAGAAAACGAAAGTAATGTACAACAACCTCGGAAAGGAGCAGCGCTTCGAGATAGGTAATAGTGCACTTAAAGTTGTAAAAGACTATGTCTACTTAGGGCAAGTAATAACCGCAGAGCCGAACCACGAGATTGAAGTAACTAGAAGAATAAGAATGGGGTGGAGCACATTCGGCAAGCACTCTCAAATTATGACAGGTAGATTGCCACTATCCCTCAAGAGGAAGGTATATAACAGCTGTATCTTGCCGGTACTTAGCTACGGAGCAGAAACCTGGAGACTTACAAAGAGGATTCAGCTTAAATTGAGGACGACGCAGTGAGCAATGGAAAGAAAAATGGTAGGTGTAACCTTAAGAGACAAGAAGAGAGCAGAATGGATTAGGGAACAAACGGGGGTTAAGGATATCATAGCTGAAATCAAGAAGAAGAAATGGACATGGGCAGGGCATGTAGTGCGTAGACAGAATAACCGCTGGTCATTAAGGGTAACTGACTGGATTCCCAGAGAAAGGAAGCGGGTTAGGGGGAGACAGAAGACTAGGTGGGCAGATGAGATTAAGAAGTTTGCGGGTATAAATTGGCAGCAGCAAGCACAGGACCGGGTTAACTGGCGGAACATGGGAGAGGCCTTTGTCCTGCAGTGGACGTAGTCAGGCTGATGATGATGATGATGATGATGATGATGATGGAACGACGATATCGTCAGCTGAATTATAATACCATCAATTGTGATCAACACGCTAAGACATCCTTACACAATAATAAACAACACTCAACAACATGACAAGGCGGTGTCACTAACACCTGACTCACCCCGCGGGCCCTCCGCAGACGGCCCGCGGTGCCGTCAACGGCAGACCCATCGCTCGAGGCAACCGTCCGCGCCACCACCCCACAACAAAGAGACCAGCTTATTTCTTGCGCGCCGCCACCAAGGCTGCCCGCCAGGTGCCGGTGCCGGCATTAACGTTTTCTATATAAGATGATGATGATGATGATGGTGGCGGTGATAAATGCTCACGAGCACAACGCCACCTACCGCTCAATAGTTGTGTCTCCGAAATACGGCTTTTGCGCGAGACATGTGTGACACGCGGCGCAAACAACTTTACAAGAAGTGCCAGCACCTCCACATATTACCCTTGACTTGACATATTATCCTTGTCTTGACATATTATCCTTGTAGACTGGTACGAAATATTATGAAGGGTTAGAACGTAAGAGAACTGCGATTACGAACACAACTTTCTTGTGGTTTCCCTTCGTGTCCTATTTGGCGCTACTCCTGGATTTGAGTATAATAACCCAACTAGTACGACTTTTCGCAATGTATGTATCCTTTGGGAATGCATTGCCTTATAAGTGTGTAACTGTTTTCTCTTAAACACTTGATGTGGTAGCTCAAAAGTTGTTTTCATGTTAAGTGCAAAGCTTTATTTTCGAAAATCCACCTGTGGTGGTATTATCTAGATGACGAAAGAGCGAAATAGCGCTGATGCACTTATATTCACACATACATTGAACTAAATGTGATGGAAATTGAACAGTAATCCTCCTCTTCGATATTTCGATTTCTCTCAGAGCCAGTGTTGTTTTGGGATCCTATACTCTTACGATTCAACCGCAAGTAAACCCTTGGCTGGTGTTTCCGATAGCTCAGAAACCCTTGACTCTCATGGCTGGCGTCTCTGCTATACAGAAGATGCATTTCTTGTAACTGTAACATAAATGTATATGACAGCGACATGGTACACATAAGCATATAGGTGAACAAACTGGTTGAGAACTCAGACTGGGGCGTGAGTCTGAGGGAGTACCGGTCAGTACTATTTTGGTGAGTTCGAGACCGAGTGCGTGCGCTAGAGGAAAGTTTTTGTTACTCTGAGTCAAAATGAGTCCTCACAGAAAAAGGTATTTCTTGAAATAATATAAGTGGGTACAGGGTGGGCAGATATGATTGATTGTCATTTTGGGCTCTGTATGTCATAACAAAAAAAATCGGAATGGTACACGTTGTGCCAGCGATCGGCTACGTCACTGACTCATTACAACCACTCTTATTTCTTAGAGAAAAATCTTAACTTGTCCCACTCATGATGTTGAAATAACTTCATTTAAATCTGGCGTATGAAAGACTCGGGCTTGGGGCCACCTACATGGCCGCTTCGAGCAATTGCCCCCGCACTGATGCAGGGCTAGCTGGACGGCCCAAAGTTATGCGAATAATTATTTATGTAGGTCGTATGGTTACCTCGTGAGGGTCGACGCGCAGAAATGTGTGGGTCCCCGGAGTGATATACGTATACACATAGAACTACTTCGGTGTTTTCGTTTGTTTGTTCGTTGGTTGGTTGGTTTTTCCCGCCCGAGAAGTACGGGAATGCTTCGTTCACGGTTGTAACGGTTCGTTCGCGCGCAGGTGGTTCTCGTTAGCGGTCACCTGGACTCGTGGGACGTGGGCCAGGGTGCCATGGACGACGGTGGTGGTGCCTTCATCTCGTGGCGGGCTCTGGCGCTTCTGCGGAGGCTGGGCCTTCGGCCGCGGCGTACATTGCGCGCCTTGCTCTGGACAGGCGAAGAGGAAGGCGTGTGGGGTGGCCGCGCCTACTACGAACGCCACGGTGGTCAGCCCGAGGCACGCCGCCAGCTTAACCTGGTCATGGAGTCCGACCTGGGCACATTCCGGCCGCTGGGGCTCAGGCTGGCCGCCACCGACACGCGCGCGCGCTGCATGGTCGCGCAGGTGCTGCGCCTGTTCGGGTCCATCAACGCGACGCAATTGACATTGGGGCCCGACGGACCGGATATCCAGCCCTGGGTGGACGCCGGCGTCCCGGGCGCCTCGCTGGACACGGCCAACAAAGAGTACTTCTACTTCCACCACACGGACGGTGACTCCATGACCGTCGAAGACCCGACCAACCTAGACTTGTGCACTGCCCTTTGGGCGGCCTCTGCGTTTGTCTTCGCCGACCTGAGCGAGCGCCTTCCGCGGCCGTAGGACCTATGCTCAAGGACTACTCTCCTCGTTCACGTCATTGATGGCGATCTTATCTTATTGGTTTGTCAATTGACAAGGAAAGCTGAGTACTCAACTTCACCAGACGGCACTTAAGCGAAATAAATAAATGAATAAATAATTAGGAATCATCTATTCAGTTTGCAAAAATCTCACGAACTTTCTTCACCAAAGATAAAGTAATCTTCTATTTACGTGCCCTAAGGTGCCATCACGTACTTATGTATAAACAGATCATTCAGGCCGTGCATATATTTTACAAAAAAAAAATGCCTGCCAGGCTAATTTAGTCTTTATGCATAGTTACCAGGTGAGCCGGATAAGTATTACCACATATAACGCAAGTTCGTGCAGAATAATTACCAATTAAATATTCGTTATTTACCTTTAGCAACTTGGAGGAAGTTGCTTATTTTATGAGACCTGGAAGGTATTTTGAACGCACACTTATCGTGAAAATCAACGGCGGTTCAGAAATTTTGCGCGTAACGGTGTTCCACCCTGCGCGCGCTCAAAAACGACCGCGGCAAGCACTGAGGACGACTGGTGCTGTTACGTTGCCTTTACATCGTCCCTTGGTATTTTTCTTTTCTGACTGCAACACCGGGGCTCGTTTCTTAGTCGCCCCGCCGCGGTGGTCTAGTGGCTAAGGTACTCGGCTGCTGACCCGAAGGTCGCGGGTTCGAATCCCGGCTGTGGCGGCTGCATTTCCGATGGAGGCAGAAATGTTGTAGGCCCTTGTGCTCATATTTCGGTGCACGGTAAAGAACCCTGGGTGGTCGAAATTTCCGGAGCCCTCCACTACGGCGTCTCTCATAATCATATGGTGGTTTTGGGACGTTAAACCCCACAAATCAATCAAATCAAACACTGTTGCATTACGTTGCCCCTCTGCCGACACATCTGGCGATGCCCGCAGCGCGTCTTCTGCTTCACACGAATCGAGCGTGGTGCCCCAGGGTGGCTCGAGCTGCAGGCTTCACCCGTTGCGCCGACAACGCAAATGCCGGAGAGGGCAGGCCGCAGGCCCGCGTGTTCCCTTTCATTAAAGATGACGGTGTATTTGTGCTTAACATTTCCGCCGCGTGTTGTTGCAGTTTGCTTGTGCCGGAGCACTGAAGAATGACGACGCCAATGCTCCATTCCGTGAATAATTTTGATTAGCGTCTTGAATTCGGCTGGCTGGTGCATACTGACAAAGACACAGGGCTGGAACAGGACGGAGACGCCGGACGGACAGCGCCATGTTTGTGTCTTCTTGTGTCCGTCCTATTCTAGTGGCGTGATTTCTTCCTTTATCATTTTTATCACTGGTGGAATTTCATTTTGAGGCATTTCAATAGGTTTCGCGATATCAGTATGGAAACAAAGGCAAAAACGCTGTATCGCGCAAGTTCTGGCACATCGTTACACACGTTTAACAGCTTTCGTTAATGTGTATTTTATGTTACTGTTTGCTCCTATTACGTACGCTAGATTCATTTTTGCTCTTAACACCCACCGAAACACTTCTATACATTCATGTTTTCCTTTTATGCTGTTATAGTTCCTGTAGTTGCTTTCTATTGTACATGTCCCCCTTTTTTAATATATGTTTTATTATGAAATCGTCTTTACCTTGCTGGCCTTCTCCTGTACAAGCATCAAAAGGGCAGCAGTATTGAATGAATAAATAAACAAATAAATAAAGAAACAAACAACTAAATAGATAAATAATAGAGCACAAAATAAAAACGAAATGTGTTACTGAGAACAGAAACTAAACTTGGTTGTCATTTTTTATCGTTTATTAAAATTTGAAGCGTTGCCCACCATTGCAATACATCGCGCCAGCTGGTTCATTTCAATAAAACTAGCTTTTCAATGCAATCAATGACTTAACGAAAGATGAGGTACGGCATGTGATGCGTTTCATCTCGAGGGGATCACGGCATGAAAAAATGGCCAAGGGTGACGAAAGAAATTCATGAAGCAGCGGATAACAAAGTCTACGAAAAAAGATAAGCGAGTGAGTTTACGACGATAGAAAAAGTTATCAAGACCATCACACGCTTTTAAGGCAGTGCCCCTACTGAAACGAGAGTAGTCAGAAAAAGTTACGTGAACAGCATGGTTCTGTGGGGATTCTAGGTTATCAACAATGTATGCTTATTCTGGGTCGCATATGACTGAAGCGTACTTTATTTTATGGCGTATTATAGGTAATGGACGCAAGTTTACGTACCTGCGCAGGAGCATGACGCACACTGCGTCTTAACATACCAAGTGATTGGTTAGCAGCTGGAAGAATGTAATTTATGTGACCATTCAAAGATAGGTCGGATTGGAGGTGAAGTTGATTGATATGTGGGGTTTAACGACCCGAAAGCACCATATGATTATGAGAGACGCCGTAGTGGAGGGCTCCGGGAATTCAACCACCTGGTGTTCTTTAACGTGCACTGAAATCTGAGCACACGGGCCTACAACTTTTCCGCCTCCATCGGAAATGCGGACGCCGCAGCCGGGATTTGATCCCATGACCTGCGGGTCAGCAGCCGAGTACCTTAGCCACTAGACCAACGTGGCGGGGCATTCGAGGTGAAGTCCTATATATCTGTTTGATGTGGCTGACTCTACAAGTGCGTGATCAAGGGCATATGTGGTCGGGAGGAGACTATAATTTCGTGTAAAGGAGACTAATGCCATCTTGGAGTGATTTAGGTTCATTTGCCATGATGAACATCATAAAGTAATGGATTCGATGTGATATTGCAGGGATTGGTGATCCTCGTCACTTTTAATAGCACAATACAGAATGTAGTCATCTGCGAACAATCTAAATTGGGAAGAAATGCCAATGGGTGAATCCTTCATAAAAAAAAAAAAATGGCAGATCCAACGTTCCTTGGGAGGAGGAGGAGGAAAGTTTAAGTGGAAGGACAGGGAGGTTAGCCAGTTCTTAGACCGGCTGGCTACCCTGTGCTGGGAAAAAGGGTGAGGGAAATAAATGTTGATAAAAAGAAAAATTGCGAATAAAGAGAAAGAGAGCGACATTACAAAAAAAAATAGCGACAGAGAAAAGGCAACATCAAAGTGTATAAGACACTTAAGTCTGTCTCTGAGGCCAGTTGTCCGCAAAAAGCGTAGCAGAGCTTTCAAAGCCTTCTGGGCTTAAGATGGGCTCGGCCAATGACCCAGAATCCTTTGTTCCGACAAAGCCCGATCATCCAGTCTATCCAGAGCTGCAGTAAGTTCTTTTCTTGGCGCGTTGAAATAGGTGCACTCACATAGAAGGTGCGCGATGGTTTCTTCGGAGCTGCAGTACGTGCATGTTGAAGAGCTGGCCATTCTAATGAGATAGGAGTATGCGTTCGTGAAGGCTTGGGAATTGATGTTATGCGAAACATGCAAATAGAAGGTGAATGTCTTTTTTTTTATTGAGCGAGACTTCATGAAGTGGCGCCTAATATATGTAAGATTCTCGTACACACACACGTTAAAGAGCCGGTTACGTTTTATTTTAGCAGTTGTTTACAGTTGCGTAACGATTCCAGCAGGAACATGGATATTAGCAACGCCGGAAGCGCTAAGCTGATATGAAGCGCTGGTGTTAGCGCTGGTGCTCGCGAGGATGGTAGCCCTCAACACTGCTACACAAATCAACTTCAGCGGATTACGTCTTACTACAATTAACGTAACCCTACATGACGGCTCTATTATAGGAGTGCGTAATGTTTATAAAATCGGATAGCTAGTATTGCTACCACAATATATGTTACACGACTATTAGGGCCTATTTTAGTAAATCCGAGGCCCGGCGTGTCTTTGCGGTAGAATACTTCGTTGCCACGCAGAATGCTATATGGTTCGATTCCAGCTGGGACACTGACATTTATTGTTTGCATTCGTCCGCTCAACGCTGCATAAGGCAGATTTTTCTTAACGCTCAAGAGTTCGAGTTACCCATGTGTGTTCTCGCCGTACCTGAGTAGATACCTGAGTAGGTACCTGAGTAGATACCTGTGTAGATATAAAATTTCTATCACTCGTGGCACATAGCCGCTTGCCGGTGGCACATAGCTCCCTCAAGTGTTTGATGACGTACGCGGCAACATTGTGACACTGTTCGTGTCATGACCAGTGTGTCGTATTCGTCAGCGCATCTTACGCTCCCGTACTAATTTGTTTGGCGTACCATAACGTAGGGTGTGATCATAGCACCCAGACGTAGGCGGATAGATAGATAGATAGATAGATAGATAGATAGATAAATAGATAGATAGATAGATAGATAGATAGATAGATAGATAGATAGATAGATAGATAGATAGATAGATAGATAGATAGATAGATAGATAGATAGATAGATAGATAGATAGATAGATAGATAGATAGATAGATAGATAGATAGATAGATAGATAGATAGATAGATAGATAGATGCCAGAAGGGCTTTCAGTACGTAAAGAGATGCTTTGCATTTTATATTAGGAAGAGCAGAGGGCCTGGCACGTTCCCCTGTGGTACACCAGATGTGACCTGTGCCACTGAGGAGTTAAATCGTCAAATGAGGTGAATTGAATGTGAGATGAGAGGACGTCTTTTATACATGCTAAAACCTGAGAGACAGTGTTGAGATGTGGTAATTTGAGTAGTAATCTGGGCTGAGGAACAGGATCAAATGCCTTCTACAAGTTGAAAAACAAGCAGTAAGCCTCAAAGCTGACCTCCATGAAGGCAAGTGGGTCGTTTGTAAATCCTACAAAATGAGTGTCACAAAAGAATACATTGCGAATACCATACTGATGTTTAAAAACAATGTGATGACCGAAATATATAATGATCAGTGAGTGAATGACGTGTTCGTGGAGCTTTGAGAAGGTGCAAGTCAATAAAATGTGTCTGAAGTTAAGGAGATCATACCGGATACCTATTTTGAAGATTTGTATAACTTTGGCTTTGTGAGGAATGGAACCACTTAATAATAACTGAAAAAAAAGTGCACAAATTATTAGACTAATACTTCAAGATAACTTTTTGAGACTTCTTTTATTTAAGCAAAAAGGACCCATAGCAAGTTCGGTATATTATCCGTTCCCAACTTATTAACCAACTGTTCGGTATATTATCCTAGGCTATCTTATGCTCAATG